AAAACCAAATTCAAAGAAAACAAAACAAGGGCCAGCCAAATAGTTCAGATTAAAGTACCTGTAAGCAGGCACAGGGGCTGGGGTTCGATCCCTGGGCCTGCTGTGCCAGCCCTGCCCCCGGGCACGCTGAGATGGCAATTGAGACTGGGCGTGGTGGTGCCCGCCTGTAATCCCAGCTCTTCAGAAGCTGTAAACAGGCGGATCACTAGGAGTCTGGATCTAGTAGTTAGACCCTCAACACCCTGTAGACTCCTCCCTAAAATTCCACACCCCCCCCAGAAAAAAACCAAAACAAAACACAGCAACAATACCAAAAAACATTGCAGAAAGAAATTAAAAGAGACATAAATAAATGAAAATTCCCATGTTCATGGATAAGATTTAGGGTTACTATGATGCAGTCAGACATGGTAGCACACACCTGTGATCCCTGCATTCTTGGAGGCTAAGGGAGGAACACTGCAATTTCAAGCCTAACATGGGCAATTTAGTTATTTATCAAGATCCAGTCTTAGTGGGCAGGGAAGACAGCTCAATGGCATACGCACCTGTCTGGCAGGTCCTGAGTTCAGTCCCTGGTGAAAAAATCCTGTCTCAAAGAAAAGGGGCTGAGGACATATATAATTCAGTACCAAAGTCCTGAGGCCAAAAAGAAAGAAAGAAAAAAAAGGGTTAAGAGGGTAAAACCATTCAAAGCAACCTACAGATACAATATGAGCCCTGTCACATTCTCTGTGAAGTTTTTCACAGAAATAGAGAAGCCTTTCCTAAAACGTAAAGCAAACTACAATGAGATACCACTTCATACTCATTAGGATGGCAATTATAAAAAGAAGAAAATGAGTGTTGTGGATGTAAAGAAATAGGAGCCCTCATGCACGGTTGGCGGGAATGTAAAATGATACAGCCCCAATGGAAAATGGTGCTGTAGTTTTGTTTCTTTTTTAATGAAATGCAATCCCATTTTGCATACATACATAAAGCAGAATCTCAAAAAGTTATTTATACATATGCATGTTCATAGCAGTACTCTTAGGGACAGTCAAGGACAGCAACCTGGGTGTTCTTCCTCACATGAGTGGTTAGATAGGATGCGGACTACACAGGTGGTCATCAATTTAAAATGGTCTGATTTACAATTTTTCAACTGTTTGTGAGACCAGGTCTTGCTGGATAGCTCACGCTGACCACGAACTCCTGGCAGTCTAGCTTCCCAAGCGCTGGAACCCCAGGGTGTGTCCACCATGCCTGGCCAGTAGAGTATTATTTCACCTTGAAAAAGAAGGGAATTCTGACACATGCTACCGCATGGATGAACAGTGAGAACAACACAAGTAGGGCTGGGGAGATGGCTCAGTGGAATAAGCGCTTCCCTGGCAAGCACAAGGGCCTGGGATCAATCCCTGGTTCTGCCAAAAAAAAAAAAAAAAAAAGAACAATACAAGTAAACCAATCACAAAAATACAAATACTGTATAATTGTCTACCTTTTTTTTCTTATGTATTTGATACAGGGTCTCACTACGTAGCTCAGACTCAGAGTGATCCTCCTGTTTTCAGCCTCCCCAGCTGAGATTACAGGCGTGCGCCACTATGCCCAGTCTGTGGCTGGCTTAGCAGGGCCGGCATGTGGTGCCACCGGGCATCCTAAGGTGGTGCCTTGTGCTTTCCTAAGGAGGTGCTTAGTCCTCTGAGCTATCTTACTGGACCTATAATTCTACTTGGGTGAGGGTTTTTGGAGGATATAGCTTCAGTGTAATGGAGTAGAATGCTAGCCACCAGTAGCTGGGGTTTGGGAAGAGGCAGTTGTTCTGGGGCATAGAGTTTCAGTTTGTTCTAGCGGGGAGGAGCCAGGGATGACGATCACTCAGGGAAGGGGCAGGGTTTGGCCAGGTTCCTGAGGATGGCATCTGAGCCAGGCATCTGAGTTCAGGTTTCATTTCCCCAACCAGAAGCCTGCCAGACCCCACCGCAAGGCCTTTCCCATCGTGACTCCGCTGGGTGGAGTTTAGGCATCAGTAGATGGCTAAAAGCCCCTAATTCTCATCTACAACCCTCAACACCTGGCCACACTACTTGTGGCCATAATGTGACACATGTAAGTATGCTTTACCTGTGGCAATACCTGGCCCCTGCCAGTGACCACAGCCCTCAGCGCGAAGGCCAGCCCTGACTTCCCAAGGCTGGCCACCTAGAGGAGCAGTACTCTGGCTCCTGGAATGCGAGAGCCCACCCTGGGCCAGAGCACCTTGCTCTGGGCTTGGCTGCCAAGCTGGCCTCCTGGCCCATAGCTGGTTTCTGCAGGCATTGTTCACAGAGTGCTTCACGGTGGTCAGCAAGCTACAACTAGAAGGGGCTGTGGTGGTCAAACAACAAGAGGGTCGGTTCTGGATGATGTTCTGGAGATTATTTGTACAATAGTGTAAATGCATTTAACACTACTGAACCATATGCTTAGAATGGTTAAGATGGGACATTTGGGTTTTGTTTTTTTTCAAAATTAAAAAAAAAAAAAACAACCAAAAAAAGGAAATGAGAAAAAGCCTCACAAGAGTACCAGATATAGATGAAAAAGATACATACCAAATATGTAAGTCTACAGGGATGCCATGCAAAATGCCACAGTACCCAGGTGTGGTGGCCCATGCCTGTAATTCCACCATGTGAGGCTGAGGCAGGAAGACTGCTGTGAATTTGAGGCCAGCCTGGGCTACATGGTTGAGTTGGAGGTTATCTTAAACTCATAATGAGACTTTCACAAAATAAAACAAAACGAAACAAAATTCATTCTCAACAGTTTCCCTCCTCATTTCTAAAGATTGAATCCAAGGCCTCTGCACTGAGCTACATCCTCATCACATTTTTATTTTGAGACAGTCTCTATTTGTCTTGGCTGGGCTCAAACTTGTAATCTTCCTGCCTCAGACTCCCAGAGTGCTGGGATTATAGGAATGTGGCACCATACTAGCTATCAACTGTCAGCGTCTTTGTGGTTACTGTTTGTGGTAGTAGGCGCCCACTTCTCAGGGCCTTTGGACCACAACTGTCTTTGCACTGAGCTACATCCACAGTCCTTTTTTTTTTTAATTTATGTATGTATGTATGTATGTATGTATGTATGTGTGTGGCCAGCTCAGCTCACCTGGGGGCGGGGCTGGCTGGCATGTGGTGCTGGGGGATTGAACCGCGGTCCATGTGCTTTGCTAAGCTTGTTCTAAGTAGGTGCTTTAGACCACTGAGCCATCTCACCAGCCCCCACAGTCCTTTTTTTAATGTTAAAATAGTCACTCATTAAATTGTCCTGTCTGGGCTTGAATTTGCAATCCTCTGGCCTCAATTGCCCAGAGTGCCGAGTTTATAGAACTGCATAATTATGCTGTAACTATCAATTATCAGTTTTTAAGATCACTATATTATGCTGGGCATGGTAGATGCCTGTAATCCTATCACTGAGGAGGCTGAGGCAAGAGGACTGCTGTGAGTTAGCGGCCAGCCTGTTCTACATAGTGAGTTCAAGGCCAGCCTAAGACCCCATCACAAAAATCCAAACTCACCCCCACAAAAAAAAAAAGGCCTTTCCACAACAAGAGCACAGGTGTAGTGAAAACTACCACCAAATGAAAGCCAACACAGGAAAGGAAAAGACTCATATTAGCATCATTGTCACTGGACATGGGGATATGGGCAAGTCCTCCATCTGGCCAGGCCATTTGATCTACAAATTTGGTGGTACAGACAAAAAAAACCAGTGAAAATTTTGAGGAGGCTGCTGAGATGTGGAAGGGTTCCTTCAAGTGTGCCTGGGTCTTGCATGAACTGAAAGCTGAGTGTGAATATTACCATCAACATCTCCCTTGTGCAAATTTGAGACCAGCAGGTACTGTGACTATCATCGATGTCCCAGGACACAGACTTTATAAACAACATGATTATAGGCACATCTCAGGTGGATTGTGCTATCCTGGTTGTTGCTGCTGGTGTTGGTGAATTTGAAGCTGGTATTTTCAAGAATGGGCAAATCCATGAGCATGCCCTTCTGGGAACAACTTATTGTTGGTATTAACAAAATGGAATCCACTGAGTCCCCCTATAGCCAGAAAAGGTACGAAGAAGTGGTTAAGGAAGTCAGCAGCTACATTAAGAAAATTTCTGGTTGGAATGGGGACAGTGTGCTGGAGCCAAGTGCTAATATGCCTTGGTTCAAAGGATGGAAGATCATTTGTAAAGATGGCAAAACCAGTGGAACCACACTGCTTGAAGCTTTGGATTGTGTCCTTCCACCCACTTGCCCAACTCACAAGCTTTTTAAGCTGCCCCTTCAGATGTCTACAAAATTGGTGGTATTGGTACCATCCCTGTGGGCTAAGTGGAGACTGGTGTTCTCAAACATGGCATAGTGGTCACCTTCACTCTAGTTAATGTCACAACTGAAGTAAAGTCTGTTGAAAAGCACCATGAAGCTTTCAGCGAAGCTCTTTTTGGAGACAATGTAGGCTTCAGCATCAAGAACATGTCTGGGCGGCTGGAGAGATGGCTCAGTGGTCTAAAGCACCTACTTAGAACGAGCTTAGCAAAGCGCAGGGACCGCGGTTCAATCCCCCAGCACCACATGCCAGCCAGCCCCGCCCCCTGGTGGGCTGAGCTGGCCACACACATAAATAAATAAATGTTTTAAAAAAAAAAAAAGAACATGTCTGTCACAAACATTGCTGGTGGCAGCAAAAATGGCCCACTAATGGAAGCAGCTGTTTTTACTGCTCAGGTGATTATCCTGAGCCATCCCGGCCAGACCAGTGCTGTCTGTGCCCCTGTACTACACTGTCACACAGCTCAAACTGCTTGCAAGTTACTGAGTGGAAAGCAAACATTGATTGCCAGTCTGTGGCCCCTTTCTCCCTAATGCTTAGCAGAGTGTTTGCCTTTTTTCTCTCTCATTGTAATACCTATTGGATTATCTGCTGAACCCCAATGTTCACTGCATGTTTAAGGAACAGAGCTCACCAGCTGCCCATGGATCTTCTGTCATCTGCATGACCACATTCTGCATGGCCTACAGACCCATCCCAGTCTTGTTCCTTGGCTTTGACAGTGTAGATCCAAGCAGCAGAATACAAAGCTGTGCCTGAGTTCCAAGTAGATTCCCATTCCTGGAAACAGTGGGTCCATGTTATACACAGTATGCTCTTTAAAATTTCTTTTATTCTTTTTTTTTTTTTGCGGAACCAGGGGTTGAACTCAGGCTCTTATGCTTGCCAGGCAAGCGCTTATTCTACTGAGCCATCTCCCCGATCCCCTTTTATTCTTTTGATAAGGGTCTTGCTATAAAGCTCTGATTCATACTGATCCTGTCTGAGCCTCCCCAGTGCTGAGATTACACATGTACACCAACACACCCAGTCTTGGGGCCAGCATGGCATTTAGTACTAGCGCTTACGCCACCAAGCTATCTCCCCAGGCCCACAGTCTGCTCTTGCTCATGTGCACAAAGCATGAGGGAGAAGATACACTTGCTCATCCTGGGGTAGGCTGAACCCCGCCTGGCAGTTACAGAACAGATACCAGGGTATCCCTGGGCATGGCCTCCAGTGCTGTCCTGCTGCTTTGTATAAACATGAAGAAAACTTCCATGACTTTTCCACCCCTAGCCTACAGCTATAGGGCTAAGGGCTGGACTTCTTTGTGTGTGTGTTGTCCATGCTGTCCCTGAACTCACTATGCAGCCCAGCCTGGCATTGCACTCATGGTGAGGGTCTGGGCTTTGTTCACCTGTGTGCACTTCAATTTTGAGTAATTACTGGCAATCCATACCCCATGTCCAGCACTGTGACTCCCACATAGGAGGAACTAAATACACACACAGATGGCCACCAACACGGTATGGATTAATTTGTAATTTTTCTCTTTTCAATTCAAGATCAGCCTAGCAACTTGGCAAAACTCTTGTATCCACCATCACCAAAGCTCAGCTCTACTTGAACATAGAACAAACAGATGAAGCACTGTACGATTGGCACTTTATCAGGGGAATGAACAAATCAAAATGATTGCTCAGCTGGGTATGGTGGCACACACCTGTGATTCCAGCTATAAAGGAGGCTGGGGCAGGAAGAACACAAGGTGCAGGCTAGACTGGCAGAGGGAAGCAAAGGTGTGAAAGATGGCACGGTGCTTGGCTAACATCAGGCATCCTACTGCTTGGCATGGTCTACCTGAGTGGAAAACCATTAAATGCTCTGGAGCAGGACAACAGTATGATCAGAACCGTGTTTTAGAGAAGGATTTTTCTAGGCAGAATAAAACATGAAAGCTGAGGGCTGGCTAAATAGCTCAGTGGATTAAAGTGCCTGCAGTACAAGGGCCAGTGGTTCAATCCCTGGGTCTGCCATGCTGGTCCCACCCCTGGGGCGTGCTGAGATGCAATTGAGACTAGGTGTAGGGGCGTGTGCCTGTAATCCCAGCTCTTGGGAGGCTGAACACAGGCAGATCACAGGAGTCCGATCTAGTGGTGAGACCCTAAACACCCTGTAGACGCTTCTCTAAAATAAAAAAAAAGAAAGAAAAAAATAAATTTGGTTGTGGTGGTGCATATGTGCAATCCCAGCACTCAAGAGGGTTTTTGTGTTTTGTTTTGTTTTTTTACTCAAGAGGTTGAGTCGGGAAGATTGCTGAAAAGCCAGCCTGGGCTACAATGTGAGTTCAAGACCAGCCTGCAGAATGAAGTAAGACACTGTCTCAAAGCAAACAATCTTAAAACAAACAAACAAACAAACAAACAAACAAACACCTGAAGAAGGAACCAAAAGAAGAAACCTGAGGATCAGCTATCTTTTTTTTTTTTTTGTGGTGGAACCGGGGATTGAACTCAGGCCCTTACACTTGCCAGGCAAGCGCTTATTCTACTGAGCCATCTCTCCAGCCCTATATTATAAATCTTATTGCAAAGCTGGGTATGGTAGTATGATGGCCTAAACCCATACTTTTAGCATAGGTATTGCCATGGTAAACGTTAGCTGACCCCAGAGTTGTCAAAACAGTCTTACCATATAGAAGCAATATACCCTGAGAAAGCTGCTGACCCTAAAAAACTTTAGCTCACCGCAGAGTTGTAAAAATAGGTCTAACATATGGAGGAAATATACCCTGAGAAAGCACTGACCCTAAACAATGACAGGAAAAAAAGTAGCCAGATGTATAGCAAAAAAAAATCTGTTTGACAGGCAGGATGGGTGCAAATTGTTTGACAAGCAAGGTATACTGCATATTCCCTTTATATACACTTTACAGACATGCCATGTCTTCTGGTCAGCGCTGCTTAGACTCTAAAATGGGTCTATGCTGATTGATGGTCGCGGAGTTCAGCTAATAAAAATCTTCAAATTTTAATTGGCTACTTGGATTCCTATACTGATTATAAACCCACAACAGTAGAGGTTTTAGTCCATATAAAGTGAGTTCAAGGCCAACTTAAATTATTTGGCATATCCCTGTCTCATAAAAATAAATAAAAAATAAAGCCTAAAAGTACGAAGCTAAATTTGATTCCTAGTACAAAAAACAAAAACAAAGGATATTAAAGAGATAAGATAGGCGTGTGCAGGCGAAGCGCGGAGGAACAGAGCGGAGCCTCGCGACCGCTGCCCGGTGTCTGTCCACGTCGTCTGTCGCGCCGCCCGCCTGGCGCCCGCCGCCGCCATGGGAGCGCAGGTGGAGACCATCTCTCCAGGAGACGGGATGCTTGAAGATGGCAAGAAGTTTGATTCCTTCCGTGACAGAAACAAGCCCTTCAAGATTATGCTCGGCAAGCAGGAGGTGATCCGGGGCTGGGAAGAAGGGGTGGCCCAGATGAGTGTGGGTCAGAGAGCTCAACGGACTATCTCCCCAGGCTATGCCTATGGTGCCACTGGGCACCCAGGAATCATCCCGCCACATGCCACTCTTGTCTTCGACGTGGAGCTTCTAAAACTGGAATGACAGGAGTGGCCTCCTCCCTTAGCTCCCCATTCTTGGATCTGCTATGGAGGGGATCCTGTCTCCAGATGTGCGCACATGAATCCCTATGGAGCTTCTCCTGATATCCCACTACTCTGTGTAAACATCTACCCCAACTGAGTGTGTTCTGTCACTCAGCTTGGCTTCGGACACTTCCACTTCCTCTACTTTTTCTCCTTGTGTTTACCTAAACTATATGCCATAAACCTCAAGTGACTAATTTTGTTTTTGGTTAAAGATTGTTTCAGTCTTTTACCTAATTTCCAATTAAGAATATTGTCAAGTATTAACAGCACAAGTGATGGGTTAACTTTAGAATAGTAATTGGTGTTGCGGTAGGGTTTGCAAGAATATTTTAATTTTTGGATGAAATTTTTATCTATTATATATTAAACATTCTTGCTGCTGCAGCAGATTTGAGACCCTGTTGAGGGCTGAATTATTCTCCATTGTGAGAGATGTCCTTGGGTTAAGTTGAAAGCCCTACCCAAAACTAAAGTGGGGAGAGGGAGAGCCTTAGCCTCTGCCAGCCCCAGCCACCTCCCCTGAAACTT